GAAAGAACAACATTCCCTCTCTTTTCAATCAGGGAGGTCAGAGTGTTTTTCCTCATTAATCATACATTAATATTCAGATAAACACTGCCTGTTTTTCTACTTTAGAAAAACAGAACCTTTCTAACTCTCCCTCTCCCTCTGACAGACCGCTCAGACCTGGTTGCCCTTCCCCCGTAGCGTACATAGCCTATCTTAGGCTGTCAAATGGTTAAAAATAACATGGCTAAAAGAGTGTGTGAACAGGTACTCTCTTCTTATGTACAAATCATGGCTGGGACCCACACATGACAAACAGATACACACCCACACGCACACACCCACCCACACAACATCTACATTAATACAGTTAGCATGAACTAGCCTACCCAGAATCGCCTTGGTGGCCAAACTCCCAACATGGGTGGATATCCCATCAACATCAACAACCCTTAGAGGGTTTTCTCTTGTGTGAATTGCTCAGCCAAAAGGATCCAGATGTGCACACACACAAAAATACACACATGCCTTTATTCTGACTGGACACAGACAGGGAGACTCTGAGAGCGTCAGAGACATACACAGACATGGAGCACACACACACACAGTGAAATTAAGGGCTAAGAAGATTTAGAAGTTAAAAATAGATAAGGCAGGAGTGAGGAGCTACAGAGCAGTCTACTGCGAACCCTCACAGCAGAGGATACAGACACACCTGTGCAGAAAAACCATTTCCTGCTGCCATGGATTCTGATAATTCCAGATCAAGAAAAGAAGATTAACATTTGGATATAATTTGATATGCTTCAACTTAATCCAAATTTATTTAATAATCATTTCTTTCAGCGCACAACAAGCTCCTCACGTCATGAGCAGTGAAATGCCAAATGCAAAGCTGGCCGCCCACAACTGGCAGATGATCATAAGCTATATATACACACGGCACTCTCACACAGTTAAACACATGTACACACACACATAATACCTTTCTCTATCTGTCTGAGGCCTTTCCATATACTTCCAATCATTTCCAGCCCATTTGAAGAGCCTAACCAATACAGGTTCAAACCTAACCCTAAACCAGCAAATCCCCTCGTGGGATTCAGGCATTGGGCCTCACAAGGAGCAGTCGGTCCCCACAATGTGCTATTCTTCCAAAGAATACTGGGACTTTACATTGACTTACGTTCATTATAGTTACTGAATCTATGCCTAACCCTGACGTTTACTCTAACCTCAACCATTTCCTGTATATTTCTAATCCCAAACTTAACCTAAAATTAATTCATCCCAGACCTCTAAACTGACTCTAGGCTGAAAAACCTAATCGTATAAATCATGATTAATCGATTATTGAAATAATTATCAACTAATTTAGTAATTGCTTAATTGTTAACTGGAGTCTAGAGACTGTAAAACATGCAAGAAGTTGAAGGAGCAACCCACTTAGAGTAGTAAATATACCAAAATTGTAAAAAAAAATATATATATAATTTTTTGCATTTAAGATAAAAAAAAAAAAAGAAATGTCTTTCAAAATGCTCTACCTGGTTTATCTTTGTAAAAAGTTTTCTTTAAGGAATTTTGGGCAATCCGATTATAAATCAGAAAAATAATCAACAGATTAATCGATTTGCTAACTAATTGTTAGTTGTAGCCCTTCACTCTAGCATTAAAAATTGGAATCTGCCACATGCCACATTAAGACCAGCCTTTAGTCCCCAGAGGGCTTTGGGTCCTCAGAAGGTTAGTAAATATACCACAAATGGTCCTTAATAGATAGCAAAATCTAGACACACACACACACCCCTACACACGTCTAGATTGTAAAAGTGCATGGCTGAAAAGAAGCTTAGAGCTCACTGTATGTTAATCTGGTCCATTGATAAGACCTGCTGAGCTGCTTTCTGCTCTTACCATCTCACAAAATACATACAAAAAACAGGTGCACACAAAAGTCCACATTCTCAAAGCCAAGTATTAAAACTGACAAACATCCGAATAAAATAGAAAAAATTTATGTATCAATTCAACAATAAAAGCCAAAAGTAAAATTTTTCACCACAAAAATCTGTGTTGGAATTAGAAAACAGAGGATGCGGATGTCTGGTTAGCTACAATATTGCATTAAAAAATGTATACTCTCGTTTTTATATGCCGCAGACCTTCAAAGAAATTCAATGATATAAAAAAAACCTTTAATACCTAAAACCAAAATTTTGATTATCCCATGACTTCTGGTGAAATATTTTGTTTATGGATTAGACAAAAGTGAAACATTTAAAAGCAAATCTTGTTTAAATCTAAAACTTTACAGAAATATAAAATCATTGTGACAGTTAGCAATGGTTGAGCCCAGGGCTACTCTATTGCTTCAGGACCTGCATGGCGTGCCTTAAACAATTAAACCATGCACTCTTCTCTTAACCAAAAGAATTCCTAAGAACAATCACTGGCCGTAAGTTTCTGACCTTAGACTGAATCACACTTGGGTTACCCAGCATGATCAAAAGTAAACCAAAGT